TATATAAGTTATACTGTACGAGCTTTTGTGCTGAATACATTACATTGTTACAAGTGTCAAGCTTATGGGTATGTGGCAGCAGTGTGTAGGCTGGATGTTCCTAGGTGTGAGAAGTGTTCAGAAGGGCATGAGACAAGGGAATATGTAGCATTGGGGAAAGTAGTGGTATGTGTTAATTGTAGGGGTGCCCATGGGGCTGGGGATCAGAAAAGTCAGGTGCAAGAGAGGCAGGTTATGGTTTCCAGGGTTATAGTAGTGCAGAAGTTGTCAGTGAAGAAAGTTGAGGAAGATGGTTCAAGGGGGAGGGATGTGAGTAGTAGATCTGTACCAGTACAGAGATATAAACCAAAAAGTGATATGTTTGAGTAAGATTGGATTTTTGCCATTTATAGCAATGGTTATCAACTGTACTGCAGGGATGGAACATAAGTCTGCCAAGGATAGATGTCTGTGATCTAAATCAAAAGGTAGGCATAAAGTTATTGTTTTCAAATATGTATTATTGGCACTGGCTGTATTATTCTTATTATCAACACAAAACGTATTTTCTGCCAATGTATCCGCTCAGACACGAGAAATTGACTTTCTAATTTGACGCCCTATGACGCCCCTGGCCCGTCTGTTCTCTTTAGCTGTGTTCGAATACTCATACTAACCTCACTAACCGTACTATTTGTGACGTAAACTGAGTGTATAGTATGCTTATTGGTCATAGTATGGATATAGTTAGTATGCGAGACACCATTTCCGTGCTTTTAGGGCCCCCGAGTGGCGCAGTGGTCTAAGTAGCTGTGCCACTAGAGATCCTGGTCAAATCCAGGCTCTGTCTTGGCCGGCCGCGACCGGGAGACCCATGGGGCAGCGCACAATTGGCCCAGCGTTGTCCAGGGTAGGGGAGGGAATGGCCGGCAGGGATGTAGTTCAGTTGGTAGAGCATGGCGTTTGCAACGCCAGGGTTGTGGGTTCGATTCCCACGGGGGGCCAGTATGAAAAATAAAAAAGATGTATGCACTCACTAACTGTAAGTCGCACTGGATAAGAGCGTCTGCTAAATGACAAAAATGTAAATAATGCAATTCTACAGAAGATGGGCGTGGCTTCACAAGGTTTTCAGATTTGAAGAAATAACTGATGAATTTACGAACGCTCAACACAAGTTGAATATGGCCGGTGTCAGTAAATGTCGGCAAAAAAGCGTAATTAAATTGTTGCCAGCTACACAGTTACAGTCACCAACGTTCTTGATAACATGAAAACAGCCTAACCAGCTCTGCTAGGGCGATTAAAATGGTAAGTGTTCTGTCTCATTTGTGTCTGGAAGTAACTAGCAAGCTAGCCAGTTAGCTTTGGTGCTTGACTGCCGTTGTGAGATCAGAACGCTCAGATCAACCCTACTCCTCCGCCAGAGCGTCCAGCAGTGTGCGCTCTGAACACTCTGAATTTACAAACGGACAATCTGACAACGTTCTGGATTTACGAACGCCCAGGGCGCACTCTTGCACTCCAGATTTAATTTAACGACACTCGAATTGGTAAAATGTCTAACTAGTAATTTATGCTAACAAGCTAGCAAGAGGTTGCATAGCAACAGCATCAACTTCCGGTAGACAGGCGAAGCGCTAGTACGCTCAACTGAAAGGATACCGTTCGTTTACAGTATACTAAAATTTACTAATAGAGTATGTAGTATATACTCATTAAGTATTTAGTATACAGTATGTTCCAGTGTGTTCACGCGCGTAAAACACACTTTTTTTTATTTGGGCTTCGCAAACCACTGGCGGTTGTTTGTCCTAAGCAAGGTCAGGCAAAGGAGACTACGGGAAGATCTGTCAATAGACTTACCCCCCGATTCAATTGCTCGAATATGGCATCTCCTCCTTGGTCAAACATTCGTTCAAAGAACACTGCCCCGACCATGATGGTAATGGCAAAAGTAGATGTTCTCCTGAAGAGCAAATTGTAGACACCTTTCGCAAGCGACATGTTGGCTGATGGTGATTAGAGAAAGGAGGAAATTACGTCAGAACAACGTAAACGGAAGTGTGTATGATGTGAAATTAAGTTGTAAACCTGTGAGTCACATCCTTGTGCGACAAAGGAAATTCTAAAACAAAATTCTGACGATCTAAAATAATACATTGTCTTGAAGATTAAAAACTATAAATACTTGTCTAACAAATATAAGTATAACAAACTGCGGAGTACCTAAAGATGGAGAGATAACAAACAGGCTACAGAGAGGACTCCAACCTGTAGCAAAGATTATGGATATACTGACAAAAAACATGTATCTCCGGCCTAACACTCAGTGTATATTGGCAATAATAATAATAATAATACATTTTATTTGGCAGATGCCTTTCAGGACACTCAAGGACATCTTACATAATAAAATAATGGGCGGGTTCTGGCACGTGTCACTTCGCACTAATCCCATGTGCATTAAACAATAGCTAGGCTACAATGTGTAGGCTACTCACGTTAGCTAGCTAGCTAAGACTCACTAGCCAACTTGGTTAGCAAAAACAAGGAAAATGTCCAAACAAAGCTCACTGTTCTATGTTTTCAAGAGACCGTGTCTGGAAGAGGATGTTGTAGAATTTGCAAAGTAATTTGATATCAGTCATTTCGCCATGAAGGTCCTCCAGTCCCTGTCTATATCAATCACTGATTGCATTGATCTAATCGAGGGCCTTAAGGACCGTTTCAGTACATTCAGAGACAATGATCAGAACTACAAAGCTGTTTTTATTGAACACTTTTAAAAAGCATGAAATGCTTATCCACTTCGACTCGCACTCTCCCTCCTGCCAATGAGACATGACTATCAGTCCAGTGAAAAAAAAAGTTTTTCCAATTTGTGCCTCGTAAGTAATAGGCTACAACAACTGACCTATTACCAGTGTTATCATATAGCCTAGCTTGAGACTCGAGTTTTTAAATATAAGGGACACAACGTTATTTATAATAAGGGACAGGCCTACATGGAGAAAATCGGAAATCTTATTATATATGAAAATAGGCAAATTAATGAAACAAATTTATTTCCAGTCAATGTTAATAGCCTATCATTTTTAGGAATTGTGCTCGGCTTGCATTTTGAGTCATGAAGTGATCTTGACTAAAAAGAGTCTATATAGCACGGATAATCAACTACATTCAACTGCGTGCCAATTTTTTCTTGAGCAGATGGTCAGGGGACCGGAACGTAATTACAAATCATGTGTAGATTTTAAATTGACCGCAAGAAGCACAAACATATATCATATTTTACTAAAACATACTTTCAAACGTTGCTTACATTTGTATACGATCACATATACTGTATCTCTCTATTATTGTTGGGAATACTTTCAAACATATTTCCAAAATATAAATTACTTGGAGCTGATTTTCTGGTGTTTTTACAGTCTTTTATGTACAACAATAAAACTTGGGAGGTCAAATAAAATCACCTGCTGGGCCAAATTCGGACTGCGAGTTCTCCCCACCTCACTTTTATCTCAGCAAAAATAATCGTTTTTTCTCTATAAACTAATATATCATGCATTTGCATTGGGGGCATTTATTTGACATTGGAACGTGTTGTAAAACCCTAATTTAATGCAAATGTCACTTAAATATGAACAAATATGAATCCTTATTAATGTTTAAACATACATCATGAATAAATACAGCTTAATGAAACTTGTCTAGTATTACGTTTGGGACTTTTATTTTGAAATATTTCGACATATCGTGACCCGGAAGTACGTTTTTAGTGTCGCTGACAAACGAATTCTCGTCGAAGAATCTTTGGTCGAAATCACAACAATTTAACAGTTTAAAGATAAACAATTTCCTAAAATGTAACGTTGGCTGACAGCTTTTACTGAGTGTCCCGTGGAGTGTCTTTAAATTCTCACATAAAAGGGTTCGTATTGCTTATTTCTTTATACTAAAAGACAAGGGTTGCGGTAGCTTCTGTTCCTTCCCCTCCTGGCTGGAGTGAGAGGGTCTGCAGGCAGCTCTCTCCAGCCCTGCTTCAAATAATCAAATTCCTGATGAGCAGGTGGTTGCGGGATTAGTAGCCTATATAATCAGGTGTTTATATTTTTTTTAAATTGATTTATTTATTTCTGCTCTTTTTTTCTCAACACTTTTTTTTGTTGTTGTTTTATTTTTACTTTTTTTGTTAAAAATAAATGCACTGTTGGTTAAGGGCTGTAAGTAAGCATTTCACTGTAATGTCTGCACCTGTTGTATTCGGCGCATGTGACCAATAACATTTGATTTGCTATTAGCAACGCTGGTGTGTTTACACTACAACGTTGGTCCCTTTTGGATTGGCATTGAGTTGCACAAAAACAGTCCGTAGCGTAGGAAGCCTGGGGCGTATTCATTTCGGAAACCGTTTATCGTTTAAGAACCAAACGGAAGCTTCCGTTTAAGAAACGTTTTGCAACAGAATCGGCGTAATGAATACGCCTCAGAAGTTAAATATAACTTTACTTACACAAACGTACTGTGCCGGTGGTCATGACGGTTGGTCATTAACACGGAGGAATTTGAGTCAAAATATGTAAAGGAATAACATTATTGAAGACTTTCCAAACGTGGGTCTGTTGTAGACTCATTTCTTCTCCGCTTACCTCATGTCAAAATAAAAGTCCTGTATGTGCGCCATATGTTGACAAAAAAGGAATAACTTGTGGGGGACTTTTATTTGACATGAGGCAAGCAGAGGACTTGGGTCTACAACAGACCCACGTTTGGAAAGTCTGTTTAATAATAAGTAGCTTTATATATTTTGACTCAAATTCCCTCAGTTTAAATGACTAACTGTCCTACCCACCGGCTCAGTAAGTTGAAGTTGAATTTTATGGTAAGCACCTCAAGGTTTTGGCACTTTGATTAGGCCCATATTGTGGTGGTCGTTGTTGCAAATCATTGTGTGTTTTGTTTCAGAGATGTGAGGGTACCTACAGCTGACTGAAGTGAAGACCAGATTCTCAACCATGGGGAAGCGGTATTACTGCGACTACTGTGACCGGTCCTTTCAGGACAACATGCACAACAGGAAAAAACACCTGTATGGCGTTCAACACCACAGATCTAAAAAGGCCTGGTTTGACAATTTCAGGGGTAAGTCATTTCATTTCCCAAAAGTTTCATGGTGCATTGAAGACAACTGAGAACAACAACAAAACAATTAGATCATACTGGGAGAAGTCTTTACGTAAGTGATCTTCAGGTCAGAGAAGTCAGAGATCTAGGATGATGCCTGTGTTTGTGACTTGTAATTCCGAGTTGGATGACCGTAAAAATATATTTTTCCCAGTCTGATTTTTTTTTTTTTTTTGGGGGGGGGGGGAGTTCCCAGTTGTCTTGAATGCACCATTAGTCCAACATGGTTTGGGGGTCAGAACAAATTTTTTTTGCTGCCTGGTGCTCTTAAAGGGCCAATCAGCAGTTAAAACAAGAACAAAGCCACTGTTTCTGTAAAAATGTGATGGATGGGGCTGGAGAAATTTGAAACCCCACCTCTTTAAGGAATACCTGGGATAGGATAAAGTAATCCTTCTACCCCCCCCCCCCTAAAAATAAAAATATGTAAAGTGGTTATCCCACTGGCTATAAGGTGAATGCACCTATTTGTAAGTCGCTCTGGATAAGAGCATCTGCTAAATGACGTAAATGTAAATGTAAATGAGAAAATTAATCACTCCCAAATTCATAGACAGAGCTTTGGATGCAAGGACAGGGACTGACCATTGATAATATCAGAATTATTGTTTAAACCATGTTTTTAGGCTATACAGTGTTTGTTTACATTTACTTTGTTTACAAACATTGGAGTAAAACAAGCTTATGTTTTGCATTCTGACAGTTAAACTAAGCACATGAGGCATTTATAAGTTATATTCTTCAAGAATCAGTGGGTACATATCATTAATTTGTAACTCTAAAAATGGAGACTTGGTATAAGGTGCACTTTGAAAAAGGGCACTCTATGGACTGGCAGAAAACCAATGGGGATGATGGCCACCACTTAGTAAACGAAAAATTTAGAAAAAATAATTATCTTGCACTCTTTTAGAACGAATGAAGGCACTTCTTCATTTAAAAGGCTTTATTTACTTGGCATTTCAGTAGACATGTTTAAAAATAGCAGGACCAACGCCAACATGTTTTGACTTGGTATCAGCCTTCATCAGATCAGGGCTTAAAGGTTTGACACAGTAACCAATTAGAAGACATGTAACATAATTAAACAAAATAACAGCATAAAGAGATGGTTGGGGTTCAATTCAGAATGATGTGATCAAATACATTTCAGTTCATGTCCTTTTCTAAATGAAATTGCAGTCGATTGTTATCTGACAGTTGCCGGAAGATACCAATCCTACCATTACGCTTGTTTACACTGAGCTGCACTGGGGTCGGAAAACATACCTCAATGCAGGGATGGGATATGCCACTGTACTCCAAATTGTACCTTTATCCACACCGCTCCATCGAGAAGATTGAAATACTTACTGCCAGTTTTCCTGGAAAACTGCCCATTCCGTCCTCATGCTAGCTAGCAGTAGCCACAGCAGCCATTATGGAATGGCATGTCACGTTGAACAACAAAGGAGCTAATTGGCTGATACTGCCATTCCAAAATGGCTGCTGTGGCTACTGTATGTTTTCCGACCCATGTCTCACGCCGGCTGCACGGTGTCTTAATGTAGTCATGATTGTATTCCAACCCTTGTGCAGCTTAGTGTAAACAAGTGTAATGGTAGGGTTGGTATCTTCTGGCAACATCTGACAGATACTTGTTGTAACAGGCTGTAGATTTTGGTGTGTAGACAATATGACACCTCTTCTCTCATCACAGATGCAGCAGCCATCCTGTATGATGAACAAACTAAGAAACCCTGCAGGAAGTTTCTTCAGACAGGTAAAGACAACAAAGATACAATTAACGTTTCATGAAAGACCCTTACAACTATCAGTGTGTAATGCTTATTTTTTGTCCTTTGCATCAGGCCAGTGTGTGTTTGGCAACAACTGCAGGTTCTCTCACATGTCAGAGAGGGACATGGAGAACCTAAGAATGCAGATTGAAGGTGAGTTGTTTCCACAAGATGGCACTGTCTGCCATGGAGATGTTCCTCATATGGAGAGAGTTAGTTAATGAGCAATGCTGTCGTTTTACTCACACCTTGCATGATGATAACATTTTTAAGAAGTACAATTTTCCATCACTATTGTGGCAAGTTACTCTGGTGTTTCAATTATGAACACACAATGCCATTTAATTTAGGTGGTTAAATGAAATCTAGTATTAATCATCTTTACTCATTTCACTCAGAATTCAAAGTTACCATGGTGATTGTGTTAATGAGATCCATATTAAGAGGTGTAGTCTAATCTCTAGATGAAAGAAGGAGCAGAGAGGACCCGGAGCACAGAGCGTCCCCTGAGCGGAGCATAGAGGAGTGGCTCACCAGGAGAGAGAAGAAGAGAGCCGCCCTCAGCAGTGGAAGGTACAGTATGAATTAATGGTCAAAGGCTGTCAGTACATACATACAGTGCATGTTAGTGCTAAAATATGTTATTTACGCTTGCACAGAGCCAGATTTGATACAGTTAGTACGAAAATATACTTTTTCCTAAAAGTATTTTACTTTAGTTTACTCTCTACAGTGTTCTGAAAGAGGAAGATGAGGAGGATGAAGAGAATCAACCAGAGAATGACATACCTCAACATTTCCTCACCATTCCTGACCTCCCTCCCTCCCTTCTGCCCCCTCCCCCTGGTGGTTGGAAAGTCAAAGTCAGAACTGAATGGGGTTAAAGGGGCAGTGCAGTTAACAGGATTTTTCTGGGTTTTTTAATGGCATTTCCACACTGAGGTCGAAATAACCTGAAATTGTGAAAATTATAATTGTGCCCTTTTTGTGTAAGAGCTGCTTGAAAAAAAAAAATTCTGGAATTTCAACCTGTTCAGGTGGGATGGAGTTTTTGGCCCAGATCATGACATCACAAACTGATCTGATTATTCTGACCAATGACCAGTCATCTTTTATTTGCATATGTATCGTCCTACTTTGAAGGCGTAAGCATGGTAGGCTCTAGAGTCTAGATGATCCTATCCGCCAATCAGGGCTGTGTATGTTAATATATTAAAATTTGTATCAACCCACCCACACGAGCAGACTGAGCATTTCAATGGCAAAAGGAGGCTCAGGGAAATAAATAATGTAAAATGTTTTAATGAAATAAACACAGAGTGATTTATTACACATACAGTGATTTAAAAATTAAAAAGGATACATGGGGGCTTTAAAGCTGGTTCATAATTTATTGCTCTAAGTTTTATGTGGTAATGCAAGAACTGATCATTAATTTCTATTAGGGCTCAAACTTTACTTGATAGAAGTGAGTGAATTGATAATCTTCACATTTTAATTGAGTTTCTTCATTACGGACCACATTAAAATTGAGTTGTTACGTGCATGCAGACATTTTGTTGAGTAGGTCCTTGTATTGAAGAAAATGTATTATGAATTAGAAATTTACAGAATGTGATGTTCTAATGCCTTTTAAGTTATAGCCTCAGGAAAGCAGCAGAACAGCAGTGGCAACCATGATATATTTTGAAAAATGCTGTGATTTGCTTCCCTCCACATATTCTATGTGATGGGAAAGTGGTTTGTCCATATTGGTTGATTTATTTCTAATGGATGGCATACAGCTTTACCTGGGTCCAAACTGGTTAAGAGAAGAGGGAGAAGGATCGGAACCGGAACAAAGAGCTCCACCCCCTCTCTGAGTTACAGGCAAGTCTATGGGCCAAATGTCTCCTCCCCTTATGTAATTCGAAAGATGAGAAAATCGAGATTTGTCCAAAGCATTGGAACTAATGCTGCTCGTTGTCTCACGCATCCCGTGTCATGACAGATCTACGATACCATTTATGTAGTCTGTCCACAAGAGATTACCTCACCAATGATGTTGGCCATGTACCAAGGATGGCTGGCCACTTTTGTAACAAAATTGTTGTAATTTTTTGATCTTCTGGTAATAAAATAGTGTTTTAAATAGACTTATTGTTATTTCCCCTGTTTCATTTGTGATAACAATAGGGGGATAACAGAACAAGTGGTATTCAGGTCATTACTTCAGTGTGTTAATGGAGCCCTGTCTGTATGTGCCACACAGCTGCGGTTCAGACCAGATCTTGGTAGGATGTCCCATCATCCTGTGACAGGGACCCTTTACTGGCAGCATCTGCCTTTCCTGTGGCAGTGACACAGATTGAAACCGAAACCGCTACACCCTAGAAGAACACTTTCAATTTGTTTCAGATTGGCTCTGTGAGGGGGATGACAGGACAGTTGGATCCTTCCCTGGTTAGTTGGCCGGCAGTGTGAATAATATTCGGATGAATATTATGACCATGCTGGCTGTCTCGCATGTCTGGGCTCTGTCATAAAAACTTGCATAGCCAACATTGGAGCAGGACTACAGTGAATTACTTGTCTTAAAGCCTTGGTGTCTGCCTACCTGCCACCAAGAGCTCTGATACATTTCCCTGGCCCTGAGATTTCCAGGCATAAAATAACTCCACATAATTAAGTTTGTAATTACCAAAAAGTTATGACATTTTACTGTGGATGACTTTTATCCACACTTGTAGTTTTGCATGTACTCAAACTATAATAATAAAATAATATGCCATTTAGCAGACGCTTTTATCCAAAGCGACTTACAGTCATGTGTGCATACATTTTACGTATGGGTGGTCTATTCACCAACATGTACAGTCATTGTACCCAAACAAAATTCAAGTACAAAAGTGTTTAGCTATCACTAGCAGCCTCTCGCTACTTGTCATTAATTAATTCATGTCATTAATATGCAGCTTGCATTGATTGCTTAATTGTCAGTACACTCTGTGCCCTTTAGCTGCACTGCTCCCCTTTACCATCATAACTTCTCTTTAAGACCTTAACCTCCACAAATGAGAAGTTGCTGTACTGAATACTGAGTCAATTCCCTGCTGACATGTGCCACATTAACAAGCTCTCTCAGCTCAGCAAGAGAGAATTACAAGCAGAGTCCCAATGAAGCTCTGTTGTACATAGAGGCTGTCTTCCTTGAATCCATGATGAAACAAGTCGCCTGTGTCTTGGAAATATATCAGTAGGCTATTTTATAACAGGTGGCTGTTGTTGAACATTCTTGCTAGAGTAATTGTGTTTGACATAGGTGCTACTGAAAGCAGCTTGTGTTGTTTTGTTATTCTTCAAAAGTCCCTACAGATGTTCCATTATTGACTGTGCTCTAGGCACCAGGCAGTAGTAGAGGTCCTTTCACTGTGACTGTGAGTCGGTTTGTTTTTCACAGTCCGATCACTCAAGCATCGAATTGGGATTTGATGGGTGTAAGGTTAAATGCAGAGTAAACAGCAAATCAACACTACCATTTTTTACTTTTGATTTGTAACACGCAGTTGTAAGAGAAATGGCTCCCCAGCAGCAAGTCTTTAGCTTCTCTGCTGAAAGCATATGCACCAGGAACAGATGTTGATGTTGATTCAGTTGTTTGAGGAGAGCAGCACATAACAGCCAGGTCAAACCTCATTTCACAGATTGGTCATTAATCATTAATGTCATCTTTTTATTTTATATATCACCCTATTAGATAGCTTGGAATTATGGTCAACACATGGAATTATCATGATTGCGTCCTATGCGTCACGGTAATAATATAGATCATTATGCAGTTCTAGAAAACGACAACATAAAACAAATGGAAATTAATATTTGGCTGATAAGTATCTAATAAACATTCCACTGCCTTGTTTGGAATCCAAAGGTTGATTGAAAATTAATGGGAAATAAAGGTTGATTAATGCATTATGCCGCAATAATAGTTGGTAAAGATGAAGTGGGATAATTGATCATATATTCATAGTGTATGCAGCTGCTTGGTTGGACCCGTTATTGGTAGGCAGTCCGAGATGCATGAATTAATCATTATTGAGGCTGGGCACATTCTCCCCTTCCCGAGACAAACACCAACAGTCTTAATATTTAATTAAGAGACAAGCAATATTCTGCATCGCCTTTTGTGGAACGAGTGCCAGGGTTACCCCCAGCTGCTCTCTTGCCTCTCAGTAATTCAGTACCTGCAGGCACTATTCCAAAAGTAGATCCTGTTTTATAACCGTCCAACCATTGTAGCTTTCTTTTCAGTGGAGGCACCCCAGAGGAAGATAAAATCATCAAAAAAAATATATCCCTTTTAGAACTATACTAAATACAGATTCACGTCACCAAATGATTGATTAAAACACAATGTTTTGCAATGAAGGTCTACAGTAGCCTCAGCAGCACTCTTTAGGGTAGCACCATGTGTAGCCGGAGGACAGCTAGCTTCTGTCCTCCTCTGGGTACATTGACTTCAATAAAAACCTAGGAGGCTCATGGTTTTCACCCCCTTCCATAGACTTACACAGTAATTATGACAACTTCCTTAGTACGTCCTCTAACCTATCAGAGCTCTTGCAGCATGAACTGACATGTTCTCCACCCAATCAAAGGATCAGAGAATTAATCTACTACTGAAAGCATAAATTACAGCTAGCTAGCACTGCAGTGCATAAAATGTGGTGAGTAGTTGACACAAAGAGAGAGAAAGACAGTAGTTGAACAGTTTTGAACATTCATTTCTTCCAAAATTAAGGAGAAGCAAGAGAGAGAGATTTGGTTCTATTTTTTTAACTTTCACATTCACTTAGCTAGCAAATACAGCTAGCTAGTTTAGCCTACTCAAACACCCGACTCAAACAGAGGGGCATGCTATATTAGCTAGCTGGCTATAGCTATCCACCACTGGAACTCTTCCAAGTCAAGGTAAGCTTTTGGTTTTATTAATTTATTGCCACCGGTGTAACTGCTTTCTGACTGTACACTGTACTGCATGATTATAGCGGGTTTACTAACGCAGTAGTTCTAGTTGACTATGATGTGACAACGATGTAGGCTGTGTGTAGCGGTTAGCGGTCATGATATGAAGGTTTGGCTTGGAAAGGTTTTTTCGCCTGGTCACAGACAGCTGATGTGTTGTGTACTGAAGTCCACAAGCGAAGGGAAAAGGTGAGAGGAGGAGAGTGCGTAGATAGTTGCGAGAAGGAATTAAATATACAATGAGAAAAGTGATCATGCTGTTTTTATGTGGCTGCTATGAAAATTAACTGTTTGTGTGTGATCAGGGGTGTATTCATTCCGTTGATTCTGTTGAAAAACGTTTCTTAAACGGAAGCAAACGGAATGAAACGGGGATAAACATTCCTGAATTTGTCCAACAGAAACTCTAATTTGCAACTGTTGGACTAATGAATACACCCCAGATCAGATAGATGCAGGCAAGAGTGTGCAAGGCGGTATTGAATGTGTTGCTGTCTGTCACCTTGATTACTCAAAATTCTCTCGACCTGTGCACCTACATTGTAAACTTTCATTCATAGGCTAGGTTGTAGCAACCTCATTATG